GTCATTATAAACCACCCAAGGTATATGAACACATACAATATCCTTGGTATATGTATGTATGTATGTATGTATTTAGGTAGGTAGGTAAAGCGCAGTCACAAATCACTCAGAGATAATAAGAACCACTCGTAAATTAAGTCATAAGACAGGTAGGTAGGTAAAATGCAGGTGTTTCCCAGGTCGAGATCATGTTTACTTCTCCACCTTTTTTTTACAGTAACTAGGAGGAGACTGACAAGCTGTAAATACTCACCCAGACAACGGAAGACTGTGTTAAAACTCTCGCTGTTGTTGTGCTTGTGGGGTCGTTTTAAGGCATTGGAAGCTGGTTTATTTGACTGTTTTATCTTCTCGATCCACTTGCAGTAGCTGTGGGTTTTTCAGTTGGGGTTTTTGTTGTTGTTTTAGTTCACTTGTTGGTTGGGTTTGATGCTAGTATCCTTGGAAACAGCTGCTGTAAGTTCCTAGTAGCACCAATAATAGCTAGTTTAATTAGTTGTTTTTATACAGGTGTTGAGGATACTCAATGCTTGTTACGTTTGTTTCTCTTCCTTCTTGTCTGCTTGCTTGCTTGTCCGGGCGATATTTCAGGCACTTTTTTTTAGCTACGAACCTGAAATCTAGACATCATAGTGACAGACACTTACTTTTATTTCTTGATATTGAGTCGTTCTTACCTGTTGTGTCATTCTTACCTGTTGTATCGTTCTTACCTGTTGTGTCGTTCTTACCTGTTGAGTCGTTCTTACCTGTTGAGTCGTTCTTACCTGTTGTATCGTTCTTACCTGTTGTGTCGTTTTTACCTGTTGTGTTGTTCTTTCCTGTTGAGTCGTTCTTACCTGTTGAGTTGTTCTTACCTGTTGTGTCGTTCTCACCTGTTGAGTCGTTCTTACCTGCAGAGTCGTTCTTACCTGTTGAGCTCATTAGCTGACCAATACCTTTTGACGTTAAACCTTTAATTGTCCTCCTGCTTGGTAGTTTGTCCTCCTCTGACCAATCAAACACGTGTTAGAAATCATCTGTCAGGTCATTTAGCTGGTAAGAGTTATAAGCCGTTTGCCCAGCGTAGTAATTGATTCTCATGACGTGGTATAATGCCATTCGAGTCTTATAACACTCGTAGGATGATGAGCCTCTGACTGTTGTTTAATAAAAGTATAATTAAACACAGGTAAATGAATCATGCTGGGAGTCATTTTGGTGCTGACAGTTTGTATGTATATAATTCCTTGGTTTAATTTTCCTGGTTGGTTTATTGTTGTTGATGTTGTAATGTTTATCTTCTGGGTTTAAGTGTTTTAATCTTACAGTAACATTGAAAAGTGGTGGTTTATTCTGCTCTTTTATATCTTGATACAGGTTTAATTAACTATAAAAATGAACTAGTTGGTTTAATTTATTGGTTTATCTCAAGTGACTGGAAAAGTATCTAGACTTGACAATCAGTTTGACTTGAGGGTTGGCAACTACGGCCCTCCAACCCTATATATTTTCGACCAGTCTTGTACCAATTCCTTTAGTTGTTGCATCTCTCAGGGAACCAAACATTTAATTTTATTCATCGTTCTTAGTTTCTTCCTTTCCCTGGCGTCCATACCTTCAACTTTACCCATTTATATCTCGATCTTCATTCACTCCTCCCTAATTATGTGGTCAGGAGTATGGTCAGGGAATGTAGTGTATAATGTGGTCAGGAGTATGGTCAGGGAGTGTAGTGTATAATGTGGTCAGGAGTATGGTCAGGGAGTGGAGTGTAGTGTATAATGTGGTCAGGAGTGGAGTGTTAGTGGCTCTCCTAGACATCTTGATCCACCCAGATAACATGTGAAGTTTACATCTAGTGACGGGCTGAAGAGTGGATCTGTCATGTAACTAAATTCTAGATTATCTCTCGTGGGGTTGTCATGGGGGGGGGAAGGAGAGTATCTAAAAATGTTGGTTTGAGATTTATTTGACAGGAAATGGTTTAGCTGAGTTGTGTGTGGGATTGAAAACCAGCTCTTGGCGTATCTATATTGCAATTGATAGTATTTTGTTTTTTCCATCTATAGTCCGCGGGATCCTGGTGTTTATAACTCATTTGGAAGATTAACCTCTTTGTAATGTGTGTTTTTTTGCGATAGTGTTTTGTTGTTTCTCCATTTGCAATCCATGGGATCCTGTATAACTCATTTGGAAGATTAACCTCTTTGTAATGTGTGTTTTTTTGCGATACAGCTGAAACTTATATGTTAACACGAGAGTAAAATTTGAATTATAAACGTGGAAAAAAATCGCTTGGAAAAATGTAGTCACAACGACAGGTGAAGTAGGTGTGAAAACAAGGTGTCCATATAGAGGTAGTGTGGGGGGTGGGGGGCTTGTGTGGGGAGCTAGAGGGCTGTGTTGGGGGCTGGGGGCTACTGTAGCCTGGGGGGGGGGGCTGGAGGGCTGTTTGGGGGGCTGAGGACTAGCATGGGGGCTACGGGCTTGCATGGGGGCTACTACATCATCCTGAGAGATCTCCTGAGGTCCAGCCCCTCTGATAGTGAAAGTTATTTACATGATCAAATAACTTGTTCGTTTCCCATGAATATGAAAAAGAAATTAGAGAATATATTAAGACTTTGATTGTGTTATATAGATGATTAAAGTATAAAAGTGTATAGTGTATAGCTTAGTCTTGGTGTATGGGAAATTAACTTTGTTGTTCATTGAGTATTTATGACTGGTGACTGAGGTGGGGTAAATGCTTGTGTATATCTATTTCACGTCACAAGGCTCATGTTAACGCGTGTGTACTAGGATGACGTCACAAAGTTCATGTTTACGTTTGTGTACGCGAGTGAATGGGCGTCATCACACTCACGAGATTGCTTGTCGGATTATGCAGATTAAGTAAATAGTGTGCGTGTGTGTGTGTGTGTGTGTGTGTGTGTGTGAACGGGGCGTGGTGGCAAATTTTAAGAGTATTGTTGGAAAGATTTATTATCATTGCCATTGTACACACACACACACACACACACACACACACACACACGCACACACACACACACACACACACACACTACACATACAGGTTTTAATAGCTATAGTTGTCTTGTGTACATTACCTGGTGATAAAGATACCTGATGGATCCTTTTAATTTAATGTTTTTGCTTTTGTTTTTTGTTTATCAATCTGACTTGTAGAAAAAAAAAATAGATAAATAAAGAATCAATGACACTCGATAGTATTAAAAGTCATCTTAGAGTTGTTTAAATGTCTACTTTATCTCGTTCTATTTATGTATTGGTATATTTATTTATTAATTATTTTATTTATTTATTTATTTATTTACTTTTTTGTATTTATTTAATTTATTTATTTACTTATTTACCTTTTTGTATTTATTTATTTTATTTATTTATTTATTTATTTATTTTATTTACTTTTTATTTATTTATTTGTGTTTATTTTTTCTTCACCAATTAGTGTAAATAATTATTTGTTGTTACATTAAATACCTGGTTATTGTGCATTACTTTATTTATTTTTATTGTTTTTTTAATTGTCTGGGTACGTGTGTGTGTATATGTGTGTGTGTGTGTGTGTGTGTGTGTGTGTGTGTGTGTCTGTGTGTGTCTGTCTGTGTATCTGTGTTTCTGTGTCTGTCTGGAGTGTCACACTGCCATACGAATACCCTCTCCCCCTTCCTCCCCTTACCCACACCAGATCCTCATTATCCCAGCCACTACCCACACCAAGCACTCATTAGTACCCACACGTTATCCCTAGATGGTGGTGGCCCTGAGTAATGAGGTCCTCTGTTGATGAATTAGCTATCATGTTACCCGCGCAAAATAAGTAGGACAACTGCCTCCTGGACCACGCCCGCCCTCAGGAATTAAACCCTCTTGATTTTGTGATTAACAGAGATTTATTATATGTGACGTAAATGGGTGTGTGGGTGTGTTTGTGTGTGGGTGGAGGTGTGTGTGGGGGGGTAAGGTGTGTGTGGGTGGAGGTGGAGGTGTGTAGGTGGGGGTGGAGGTGTGTGTGTGTGGGGTGGAGGTGTGTGTGTGTGTGGGTGAGGTGTGTGTGTGTGGGGTGGAGGTGTGTGTGTGTGTGGGGGGTGAGGCGTGTAAAGAGGTGGCGTGAGGGTAAGGTGTGTGTGGGTGGAGGTGTGGGAGGTGTGTGTGTGTGGGGTGGAGGTGTGTGTGGGGTGGAGTGTGTGTGGAGGTGTGTGTGTAAAGTGGAGGTGTGTGTGTGTGGGGGGTGGAGGTGGTGGGTGGAGGTGGCATGTGTGGAGGGTATGTGTGGGTGGAGGTGGAGGTGTGTGTGTGGGAGGGTAAGGTGTGTGTGGGTGGAGGTGGAGGGGGGTGTGTAGTGTGTGTGGGGGTGGAGGTGTGTGTGTGTGTGTGTGGGGGTGGAGGTGTGTGTGTGTGTGTGTGTGTGGGGTGAGTGTGGAGGTGTGTAGTGTGTGGGGGGTGGAGGTGTGTGTGTGTGTGGGTGGAGGTGTGTGTGTGTGGGTGGAGGTGTGTGTGGGTGGAGGCGTATATTTATGTGTGTGTGTCATGAGTTAGAGGAGATGAAATATTATCAATAATATAAATTAGTTATGAGATAAAACACTAAACATAACTCCATCACTACCACCACCAAACATAAACAAGATCAACATAAACATCGAGTGAATAATCATCTGTCTCCACCTACGTCATCAATTAAAAGAACAAACATTGACTTAGTGGAGAAAAATATTAAACATTTGTTGTGTCAGTTTCCTCAGGCGGGCAACACGCACACCACATAAACATACACAAATAAAGCATGTAAATATTTTCAGGTAGAATTACAATGCGCATTATTTTTCTATTTTGTTTTTGGTGGCGGTGAAATTCTGGCGCGCAAATCATAGGAAGGTAAACAGAGAGAGGCGGGGCGGAGAGGGTGTGGGGTGGGTGTGGGTGTGGGTGCGTGGGCGGGTGGGCGGAAGGGAAATTTAATAACGTAAGTCTTGTAGGAAAAGGGTACGAACATGTTAGGATTATTTGAGGATGTTGTCGGTGAGTTGTGCACGCGATCGTCAAATTCAGCTTCCACCTCAACGAGAAATGAAATTAGATTGTAATGAATATGATAATTTCGACTACAACTTTTAAGATTTTTCCTGTAAAGAGATATTTTTTTTAGCTGGTTATGGATTAAAGGTGAAAATACTTGACTTTATATTAAGAAAAAGTGAATTAGTGATTTTTATCTTTTATTTATTATTTTTTAATTATTCCTCTAAGTTATTGTATATTCCGTGAAAACAGCTTACAATTTTGACTTTGGTTTAAGAGCATCAGTTAGAAAAGTTATACTATTGCATATAATTTCATATTTTGATTTCGTGGGGTAAAATGCAATAAGATTAGAATACGCAATAGTTGTTGAAGCTTAACTGCAGTAAAGCGAAATCCAAACTGAGAAAATCTTGCAAAATAAAGGTATTTGTATTCACACAGGCGAGGGTGTGCTGTTGGTCCGTGTGGTCATAGTTTCTTTAAGCTTGTATTTCTGTAACCTAAACAACCCGCTTGCAATCCACATAACGACAAAAACTGTAATACTCACAGCTGCAGACACAAAACATTACACCTGCAGCCCTCACACTCACCTCAGACCACAATGTTACCGATGGACCTGAATCACATTATACAAGCAACCACAAGCACACCCCGCAGCGTGCTTCACACGTGTATATAAATAACTCCAGCTTAAAAATAGTAAAATTGAACTTCTGGTTTACGGACAAGGAGACCAGAAGTCGTACAACAAATCTGGAGTGTTTGTTGCATAGTTTCTTGGCCACCCACGGTAGGGAGAAGCCCCTGAGTCGAAGAATCTTTTACTGATAATACCCCAGCGACTACGAGTCTCTATGGGCCAACTGCTACACATACGATGCTGTATTTTCACGCTTCACTAAACAAACAGCTGTGATGTCCTGAACACGGAAGCAAAACCAGTGAACTTAATGCACCAGCCAACTTCAGTGTTCAGAACAGATATTGTTTTGAGTACTGTACTAGATGGGCACTAACACCAGCGCCAGCACACTGTGTACACATCTACAGCCGGTAAATGAACCCCAGCACAAAGAATTTAGTGAAACTGACACCAACACACAAATAATTAAGAACCCGAATACAACAACATCAGTAGTACTCAAATGACTACATGTGTTTACTACTTCAGTCCTTTAATTAATTCAGACAAGAGCGTCAACAAATATCGTCAGTTATCACATGAGCACGAACTACCACCACACAGGTTGAGGCGGGAGGACCCACCTGACGGAGGTCCACCACCACCACCTTTCCTTCATGATAAGCGAAAGTGGTGGTGTGGCCCTGCGCGCCTTACTTGGCACCCGCCGTATATGGGATAATCATGCAAGATTGAGCCGTACAAAGGCCCTGCATTTAGATCCACTCTGTCGGCTGCATGAATAGGAAAAAGAGCCTTAATAAAACCCTCCCCCGCTACCTGTCATAAATGCCAGGCACCCCACCACGTCCTTCTCCTGTAGTTTAATGGCTCGTAAACCTGGAATTTCTTTCTTATTAGTGGGAAGACAGGTGTAGGATCCCACCTGTTTTCTCATTGTTTCATCGTAGGTTTTCATCTGATAACCTAATGAGTCTAGCTGTTACGGTGACGGTGTTGTGACGGTGTTATGGGCGTCTCTTGTTGTCTGACTGTCTGTAGCTCAGCGAGAAATAAGCCCAAAACCTGGCTACTCTCTATGTAGATTAGTAGTGGCCTATCGCATGCCTAGCTGCTCTATAATTACCTGGGTGCTGGGTGCTGGGTGCTGAGACAGGCCTATCTTAGCTGATGTCTTTACAGTTTGTTGATAGATTACCTTTAGTGTAATTATTTGATGGTCCACACTTAACCCATCCCAGGTGTAGTCATCATAATGTTCAGGTGTAAATCAACCTTTAAGCACTAGATATTTGACAGGTGAGAGATCATTACCTCAGCCCATTTGACCACGAGTTAAATATATGGAGAGTTAATATTCTTATAAATCAGTGGCCGACTTTACACTTGGCCAGGAGGCTATCCCATAACTCCAGCTTAGTAACTAGCTTATGACCTAACATATCTTGTGCTCCCTCCTGAACGAACATGAATGTATTTTGTGTAAATAATTTTAATAGTTTGTCTTAATAGTTTATATGTTTTTTTTTATTATAAATGTAAAAACCTTGAGTTAAATGGTAGTTTTTGGAGTAAAAGTACAATTTGAATATTACTTTCTTTGATAAACTTTTTTTTTTAGAATTTCAGAATATTTCAAAAAGCCTCATTAAAGATCTTCAAATGTTTTAGTAAAGGTTAACTCCTCCCGTCATTTTATTCAAATTACAAGTGAAAGCTTTTTCCAAATCAGGATCTGGAGGAGGAATTGCTGGGATGGTGAAGGAAGACCCAGGTCAAGATGATGAATGGTTCCTGGCCCCAGCTGTGGTCAGGTGTGTGTGTGTGTGTGTGTGTGTGTGTGTGTGTGTGTGTGTGTGTGTGTGTGTGTGTGTGTGTGTGTGTGACCTCCTAGTGTGTTGGGTCAGGAAGTTAACTGAGGAGGCGGTGGTGTGGGTCAGACGAGGCCAACACTAAATAAAATATGAAGGCATTAGGTCAGTAACGCCGAGAAGGAGGAGGAGGAGGAAGAAAAAGACTGGCCAAACTATAGTTCCTGATGCTCAATGATTTTTAGCGCTACGTCCCTGAGTTAAAATTATGTTCATGTTTTTCCCGTAAGTTTGTTTGATACTTAAACATGAAATAGAATGTTGTTATGTCTTGCACACACAGCTTTAGAGACAGAGAGAGAGAGAGAGAGAGAGAGAGAGAGAGAGAGAGATTTTCCTCTTCAACTCGTGTGTATGTGTGTGTGTGTGTGTGTGTGTGTGTGTGTGTGTGTTGTGTAGTGTGATTGCAAGGTTTGGATGGGAGTTGTTTTAATCCATATTGGCAACCTTCAGGGCGCTCCTCCCAATTTACCGTCCATTATATTACGGTCCACACAAGCACCTGCATTATACCTGCCCACACTTGTTTTCCTTGCTGGCCCACACTACGACTCCACCCCCTCCAGACCCCTCCCTCCCTCCCTCCCTCTTCCTTCCCCTCTTCTAAGCTTCCTCTCCCTCCATTTACCAAACATTATTCTTTCCTTTGTCTTAATATCTATGTTCATCTCTCCTCTCTATTCCTTCTCCTCCTTTAATACTCCTTATTTTTCGTCTTCCTTCATCCTTCATCCTTCCTCTATCCTCACTTTCTCCTTCAGACCCGATCCTTTCCCGTCCTCACATCCCACACACCTCCGTATCCTATCTCCTTTGTCGTACACCCACACATTTCTTCCTCAATATCCTGCTCTCTCTCTCTCTCTCTCTCTCTCTCTCTCTCTCTCTCTCTCTCTCTCTCTCTCTCTCTCTCTCTCTCTCTCAGCTCCTTGAAGACACGCCCCACTGACGTCATCTCTCTTTCTTGCAGGACACCACGACGGGGCAGGACCTGTTGGAGACCGTCTTCAATCATCTCAACCTTATGGAGACCGCCTACTTCGGTCTCCGCTACCTGGACCCCTCCAACCAGACGGTGAGTACATTACTACTATCTGAGAGGTGCTACTGCTGACGGGGAGGTGCTGCAACTGATGGGGAGGTGTTGCTACTGATGGGGAGGTGCTGCAACTGATGGGGATGTGTTGCTACTGATGGGGAGGTGCTGCTACTGATGGGGAGGTGCTGCTACTGATGGAGAGGTGCTGTTACTGATGGGGAAGTGCTGCTACTGATGGAGAGGTGCTGTTACTGATGGGGAAGTGCTGCTACTGATGAGGAGGTGCTGTTACTAGTAGGGAGGTGCTGCAACTGGTAGGGAGGTGCTGTTTCTCATGGGGAGGTGCTGTTACTGATGGGGAGGTGCTGCTACTGATGGGGAGATGCTGCTTCTGACGGGGAGGTGCTAGTCATTTAGAGGGTCACAGAACTGAATAACACAGATAAAAAAAACAGCTTAATTTCTCCAGCAGCAACAGTTAAATACAGTGAATAAAAACACAAATTCTGTTTATAAATGAATTAGAATTATTTTTACTCTTTATATCTCAATGTTGAAGGCTAAACAGATTACGGGGTATCGTCAGTGTCCAAAATGCCATCTAAACAGACGTGGCTGAAGGTGCAGGAGGAACACCATCTTCTCAACTTGACCCAGATCTAGTACAGGCCAGCTGAGGTCAGGTTACATTTCCGACTCCACTACGCGTTATTGACCCACTACTTCTCGCACACACACACACACACACACACACACACGAGGTTCCCAAGGAGACATCAAACTGACCCAGATAGTTATGATGGTAGTTAGTGGTGGTATTAGTAAGTGCTGGTGGTGATGAATGTAGTGATAGGTGATGATGGTTGTGGTAGTGGTAGGTGGTGGACTGGTAGTGGTAGGTGGTGAGTGCTGCTGGTGGTAGGTGGTAGGTAGTGGTCGAGTAGGTAAGGCAATTGGTGTCAGATGTCATCCAAGTCCCACATCCACCCGGGTTCTCTTACACTCAACCCCACAACACACAGACAGACAGACACAGACAGAAAGACAGACAGATTTACATATTACAACACCAGAAAAATAATAAGACAGTATCTATTTAATTAACTCATCTGTTTACATAAGTCTCTCGCCATCATCGGAATACTCAAACAAAAGATCTCTGACCAAAATAAACAATAGCTTACCTTGAGGTTATTCTTTAAGGTAGGATCTAGTTCAGGGGCTCGGTAGGTACAATGTAAACAAACATGATACAGGATACCTAGGGAGGCATCATGGTCTTGTTTACATCTTATTTCGTAAACAATAATCACTATGGGTGGATGGGGGGGGTATGGATTCAAATTTCCTCCTTTCGCCTACAAAATCACTCCACACACTCCAGAAACAGAGCCGAATCTTTATTTCCAGGTGAAGTAAGATCAGCACACAACTCGAGTTTTTTTTTCTGATGACATGACTCACTCCTCATACAATGGGCATCAGAAAAGGCAGGAGGGGTGCGGGGATAGAGGCGGGGTGAGGGGAGGGGTGGGGGATAGGGGCTAGGTGACGTGAAAGGGAGGACCACATACTGTTAGCAAGGAGAAGCGACTCGTGTCAACATTACACATGACTGGATAGATGGTGAGTGTGGTGATGGTGGGTAGGTTAGGTTACTACTATGCATATGATCTGGGTAAGTGCAAGTCTGGTATCCTCGCCTGGCTTCTGACTACGTAACGCACATACAGACACATTTAATTCCGGTATATTATTTCCTATATAACTACTATGATTATATATCACCTATTAGCTAGTGTTAAACATCTATTAAAAATACTTAATTACGATACTTCTTACCCCCAGAAACTTTATTTAACCCTTTAAAGAATATTCAGAGTTTATGACCCACAGGCTGTTCAGAAAATAAAACAAAAAACATAAAAAAAAATGTTATGGCGTAAAAATTCCCAGAAAGTCAACAGTGATCTTGGTTGAATCCCGTCAATAACTCAGTAGGTGAATCGGCTCCTTCTAGACATTTATGGTCGCTTTAATAACTTACAGAAGCAACCTGGACGTTAATTATATCAGCCGTCGGGATAATCATACTGGTTCACCATCATTAAAGGAGAATTAATCCTGTGTTAACTAGACGTGTGTTTGTGTGAGCCTTCTGAGTCACGTGGTTTGTGTATGTTTTTGATTCTGACTCACAGGGTTTGTGTAGGTGTTTGATTCTGACTCACGTGGTTTGTGTAGGTGTTTGATTCTGAGTCACGGGATTTGTGTAGGTGTTTGATTCTGAGTCACGGGATTTGTGTAGGTGTTTGATTCTGACTCACATGGTTTGTGTACGTGTTTGATTCTGACTCACGTGGTTTGTGGATATTTTTGATTCTGAGTCACCGGGTTTGTGTAGGTGTTTGATTCTGACTCACGTGGTCTTAGTTTAAATAAGTCTCGTGGCTCATATGATCTGTTTATATGAGACTCTTGATCCACTGGTTGTGTGTGTTTACGTGGGACTGACAGACGTAGAGTATTTTGTTTACATATAACTGCTGACACAATGGACGGTGTTTACAGGGGGCCGCTGACACAATGAACGGTGTTTACATATGACTGCTGACACAATGGACGGTGTTTACATATGACTGCTGACACAATGGACGGTGTTTACATGAGACAGCTGACACAATGGACGGTGTTTACATATGACTGCTGACACAATGGACGGTGTTTACATGAGACAGCTGACACAATGGATGGTGTTTACATGAGACAGCTGACACAATGAACGGTGTTTACATATGACTGCTGACACAATGGACTGTGTTTACATGAGACAGCTGACACAATGGACGGTGTTTGCATATGACTGCTGACACAATGGGCGGTGTTTACATATGACTGCTGACACAATGGGCGGTGTTTACATATGACTGCTGACACAATGGGCGGTGTTTACATATGACTGCTGACACAATGGACGGTGTTTGCATATGACTGCTGACACAATGGGCGGTATTTACATGTAACAGCTGACACAATAGACAGTGTTTACATCTCTCTCCAGGCAAACACAGTTAATGCCTCAATGACAACAGGTAGTAAAATTAATTATCAATCACGAATTTCCATGATAGGAGAAGGTTTAAATCACAAGAATCACAACATGCTTAACTTATTTCTTGATTCGTATTTTTTTCTTCCTCCTTGGTGTGAAATAACAGTGATTTAAAAGCCCAAGTATGAATAAGGGGTGATTGCGGTAAGTGTCAGCATCTAGTGAGTGGTGATAGCAAGGGAAAACAAGAGTGATTGACGTTTGCGTAGGATGGTGGAAGGTTAGTGTGTGACTTGTGAGACCTTGGCCTAAATATTGTGTGTCGTGCTGGTCTTTGGGGTTCTGATAGCTCTGGTAGATATGGTGATGGTGGTAATAGTAGGAGTAGGAGCGTTAGTTTCAGTAGTAGTGGTAGATGTAGGAGCGTTAGTTTCAGTAGTAGTGGTAGATGTAGGAGCGTTAGTTTCAGTAGTAGTGGTAGATGTAGGAGCGTTAGTTTCAGTAGTAGTGGTAGATGTAGGAGCGTTAGTTTCAGTAGTAGTTGTTGTTGTTGTAGTTGTTGGTAGTGGTGGTTGTGGTGGTGTTAGCTGTGGAGGTTGAGGGAAGGTGGATAATGGATGTATAGATCAAGCTGGGCTGAGACTTCTTCTCCATAAAACTCCATGTATAGGTCGACCCACGTGTTCCATACCCACACTCTCCCATAACCCATACTCTCCCACACCAACCCCTGCGCCTACACCCACACCCACACATGCTATCGCTGTAGTTTAATACGTCTAAACTAACTTACTTTACACGCAGTTATTGCATGAATTTCTCTTCCCTGATTCAAATTGTCGTCACGAAGTATATCTTAAACTTTATCGCGACTAAATCTTTCTCAATGTTTAAATTAATATTTTTTACCTAAAGTGTGGTGAGGTTTTTTCTTAGCTTGAGCTTTAAATTAATTATAAGATTGACAGGATATAAATAAGAGAGTGATAGGAGAGATGGTTGATGCTGGTAGATGTGTTGTATTGTACCTGAAAACCTTTGAGTGACCCGTCCTGCCTCATTCTAATTGATACAAAAACAAAGAGCTGTCTGGCCGACTGTCACCCCGCCCTCGTTCACTCTCTTAATAGCACATTACCATTAAACCTCACCCGAAGACTTTAAATGACACGGGGTCTTTAAAATCTGATACGATGTTTAGAATATAAAAAAATGGCAGCCATCTTTAAAAATCCAACAGTTCTTTGGGGCCTACCTCCTCCCCTCCCCCTCCCACACCAGACCCCGCTGCCCCCTCCCCCTTGTTAGCCGCGGGTCAAATTATATACTGGGAGTTAATACTTGGTTGTGTTTGAGTTAGCGTCGTTAGCGAGTGGCAAAAAAAAAAGTCCCTCTCAAGCATATTCTAACCTCCCTCAAGGCAACGGTATTAACCTTGACTATCCTCCTACGCATGGCACCACTCACCTGATCTACTTACCCGCGATGCCCCTCATCCCGCGCCCTCTACCTATTCTGTTCCCCTCTTGTTATATTCCCGAGCTGTGTTTGTTGAGGCCACGGCTCGTCTCACACTGTTAAGACGTCGTTGTGCCCGTGGATGCCTGTTGACTGTGCATATAACAACGGGACCAGAACAGTGTGCGCCCTGCTTCCCGGGCCCTCAGTGCTCCGCTTCCCGACCTCATTATTGATGTGTGTGTAGTTATTACTGCATGATGGCGCTGACAATGTTTCCGCTGCGCTTATATCAGTCTTTCAGAACCCGGCTTCCTGTGATCTTTTGTTATATTATTTAGATTTAATGGCTGCGACGTAGTGCTTGGCTTCTCAATCTGTCTTCTCTCTCCCCTCCCCCGATAACCTCTGGGCCGCATGCTCCGACCTCCCTATCACACGTACCAGAACATCTTAATTGCATATATTTATCGGACCGTCAAGGATTTCCGGGCCACGTCTCAGATAAACAATTGTAGGTTTAGCT